CATTAATAAATGTCTGAGCAAAATTCAGGTGCAGAGGTTGTTACAGCAGGAGGTGTACATCATTATATTAAGCATGTTTCAGATACCATGAGGAGTCCTGCTGGAGAGAAGTTTACAAAGTACGTGTGATAATATTTTGTGTATATATCAAATATTAAATAAGGTGATTTATGAGATATTACAAAGCAGTATATGATTTTACAAAAAGAGATATGTAAGTGCTATGAATTCAATGGACAAAGAAAGTTGATGATGAAGAAGAAAAATGAATTGTATTCCTACTTATTTGAAAGATTTGATAATTTTTAGGTCAATCCTTTTGTACTTTCCTAATTATCTTTTTGAAAATAACCTTGATTAGTTTGGTGCTTCAAATCTTTTTATAGTTATCTTAGTGCCCTTCCAAGTAATTTGTAGCCTATTGAGAGTTCTATTGTTCTTTATTTCTATTTACAATAACAGGACAGAAAGCTTGATCCAATGCTAGTAAACGCCTATTTATTTCCTAATCCTTCACCTTTTTTGTTTCTTTAGTTTCTCCTCTAAGAATCTTTCAGAATTTTCTTACAAAATGATGCCACTTAGGAGTGAAGACTTGGCATTCCTTACTGGTCTAGAAAACGTAACTGATTTAATCTTATTATATAATTTTGAAAAACAAAGAAATAAGCTATCAGAGTCATATACTTAATCAAGTTCTTTAACATCAGAAAGATTTTTAGAATACTAAACATAAAATTTTGGTCATGGTCATGTAGTATTTGAATAAATATTTAGTTCAGACTTCGTATCATTTCTAAAATACATATTGACTTTTACCTATACTGCATGTAAAATATATTAACAATGGATTTGCTTTTCTATGTTTAGACCATTACATATATTTGTATGAAATAATACATTTTTATTTTTAAAGTGGAAGGGGAAGATTAATACCTTATCACTACTTTTTATTGGTTTGGGTTCGTATTCAAGTACATTAACGGCAAATAACCTGTAATTGCTATCACCTTTTTCTCCGTTCTTCTCTTTGTTGTTGTTGTTCTACTCCTTTTCTTTCTTTCCTCCTCTTCCTTCTTATCTTGTTTTGTTTCATAATCTCAATTTCATAAAAATGAGATAACATGGGGTCTATTTCAAAAATAAAAAGGGTGTGCAGGCCAGGCACGGTGGCTCATGCCTGTAATCCCAACACTTTGGGAGGTTGAGACAGGCAGATCACCTGAGGTCAGGAGTTCATGATCAGCCTGGCCACATGATGAAACCCCATCGCTACTAAAATTACAATAATAATAATAATAATAATAATAACTATGAGTAGTGGCAGGCAACTGTAATCCCAGCTACTTGGGAGGCTGAGGCAGGAGAATCGCTTGAACCTAGGAGGCAGAGGGTTGCAGTGAGCAGAGATCTTGCCGCTGCACTCCAGCCTGGGTGACAGAGTGAGACTCCGTCTCAAAAGAAAAAAAAGGATGTGCATTTGTCTATATATATTAAAAAAAACAACCCTTTTACTAAAATACTTACTGGTATATGACATTTGCCATACCAATATTAATAAAATTAAATTACAGAAAAATATCTTTTAATAATACTCATAGTGTACAGGAGAAAAGAAGAGTAGAAAGTAGCCAGCCTAATTCAAACAGAAATAGGAAGAGTCACAGCAATAGGCATCACACTGTGAACAAAAGGCAAATTCCACGAATAAGATTAAAAACCTTATGTCTAAAATATTAAGTGGAAAATTGAACAAATATAGCAGCAGAACCCGAATAAGTTTCATTAAAACAAAATGGTTTTAGAAGATAAAATGTTTATATCAACTGATGTGAGTCATAATTGGGCTTATTTGACTGATAAAATTAATTATACTCAGTGATAGTGATAGGACATATATACATCTAACCTATCACTCAGATAAATATGCATGGCTCAACAACTCTATGCATTAATGAAAGAAAAACATATGACTAAATATAAAATTTATATTTTTTACATAATCGATACTATAGCTGCTGCCTTTAAACATTATGAAGAGTAAGTCTCCCTGAGAAAGATAGAATATTTTCTTTTCTGAAGTAGTGGAGAATCACAGTAATATCAGGATGCTGTCAAATTTTAATTTTCAAGTAGGGTGTTGTTCAATATGGAAAAGGCAAGAAAGAAAACTGCTCAGTAATCTCTCACATGTACCCCATATTTACATTTTCTTTTGTTCTTTTATTAATTAATATATTCCTTTATTACTTATATTCTATTTAGTTTGAAATAGATTAGAGATATGCTAAAATTAGAAACAAATTAAGAATTAAAAATGATGGAATGGAACCATTAAAGTGTGAACTTAAAAAATCAATAGACATATGATAAAGAGATATTAACATCAAAATGAACTAGGCTAAAAAAGTTAAAACACAATAAATTAGCTCAAAGTTTAGCTTTTGGTTTATAGCAAGAAAGTTAAACAAAAAAAAAAAAAAAAAAGAAAGAAAAGAAAAGAAAGAAAGCTTTTTGAAATTTCCACTACCTGCAATCCAAAGTAGCTTGATCAGCTTGCAAACATTGTGCTCTGCTCTTTCCTGACATGTCTGGTTTCCCTCAGTTTTGCCAGAATTGCAGACCTCATGTTTTTACTTTCTTCTCCAAATTTATCTGCTATAATTATATAATATGTTATTTAAAAACATAAATGTTGAAAATGTAGTATAAAGATACGCGTTCTCCCTTTACCCAGTAGGGGAACTTGACCCTGCTTCTACATGTAAAAGAATCGAATACATGCTACTTGGAAAATTTTAAAAAACGATTATTAGCTGTGGACCCACAGGATTCTGTTATCTAAATTATGAGAACCCATACAAAATACAACTTACAGGATTTTTATTTCAAGAGGTTGTTGCAAAAATCGTTTTCTCTATCTTTGTTTTTGAAATTCACTGGCAACACTAAAAAGAAATTTAGAAATACAATGATACTAGAAAATAGCCACATCCACAATGTACAAATCTGGAGAATGTCTTCTCAGTACAAAGATGTACTTGGATTAATTAAAGTAAAATACGGAACTGATAAATACCTCAAGATATATATGTAGAGAGAGAGAGAGAGAATTCCTTGTCTGAAATGCTTGGGATCCAGAAGTATTTCAGATACTAGATTTTTTTGGATTTTAGAATGTTTTAAATACATAATGATACGTGTTGGGGATGGGACACATGTCTAAACATAAAATTCATTTACATTTCACACACATTTTATAAACATAGCCAGGAGGTATTTTATACAATATTTTAAATAATTTTGGTGCAGGAAACACTTGTGTGCATTGAACCATCAGAAGGCATTATTGTTACTTTATCAGCCACCCACTTAATCAATCTGTGCTTGTTTGGCATCATGATCATTTCTGATGCTGAATTTATCTGCTACTGATAAGCAATCATTTTCTTACACTTATTTACACATAAATATTTAAGAGTAAAAAATATGGCGTACAATTTATACAGTGAACAAAAAATAATGTGTTCACAGTAACTAAGCAGCACAGCAGCATCATCAGAAAACCTGTATCAGCTGTTAAAATAACCAGTAGCCGAGTATGGTGGTTCATGGCTGTAATCCCAGCACTTTGGGAGGCTGAGGCAGTAGAATCACTTGAACTTGGGAAACAGAGGTTGCACTGAGCCAAGATGGTGCCACTGCACTCCAGCCTGGGTGACAGAGCAAAACTCTGTCTCCAAAACAAACAAACAAACAAACCAAGCAACCACTAACAAATGTCAGGCTTTCAATCTTACCTATGGTGTTAGATTTCAGTTAAAATGTTACTGTACACTGCATTTTATTCTTTTAGGTGAAAAGAAACATCAGAAACAGTTGAGGACCAGGATGTGGGTCCTCTAAGGATGAGGAGATCTTCTGCTATATAGCTTTTAAAAATATTTCCTTCGTCGGCCGGGCGCGGTGGCTCAAGCCTGTAATCCCAGCACTTTGGGAGGCCGAGGCGGGTGGATCACGAGGTCAAGAGATCGAAACCATCCTGGTCAACATGGTGAAACCCCGTCTCTACTAAAAATACAGAAAAAAATTAGCTGGGCATGGTGGCGCGTGCCTGTAATCCCAGCGACTCAGGAGGCTGAGGCAGGAGAATTGCCTGAACCCAGGAGACGGAGGTTGCGGTGAGCCGAGGTCGCGCCATTGCACTCCAGCCTGGGTAATAAGAGCGAAACTCCGTCTCAAAAAAAAAAAAAAAAAAATTCCTTCACAGTTATGAGCCTCATTAACAATGGTTTTTGTCTTCAAAGTCTCTAATTTTGTGAACTGACATGATTTCTTGTTCCACGATATATACACACTGCTCTAGTTCTTCAATTATCCCATCACACATTTTATCATGTGGTCTATAGGCACTTTTTCTGCACTGTTTACAACATTTTCATTGTCACTATTATCATGATCACTTTGGCTCAGAACCATTTTGGCTATTTCACTTTAGTCAAGAAATAAACTGGAGCCTCATTAGGGGTGTTAAAAAACACCTTTGATATTTAATTTTTATACTTACTGAAAGTCTCTAAAGGTATATGTTTTGCCTCTATAAGAAGGTCAGACATCAATTTTTTCTCACTTGGCATATGGAATTCTTCAAAGTCCTCATGTTGTTCATTGTCATCATTGAACTTAGTCACAGGCCAGAGGTTGTACCAGGCATGTACAATTGTGTTTTTAGTCACTGAGATCCAAGCACTGGCAACATCATGTATAACATTTTTCATGCTAAATGCCTTTTGGAAACTCATTCTCTGCTGCTACAATGCCATCCAAGAAGTGTTTTTATATTTACTCTTTATTGATTTAAGAATACTCTGATCCAGTGGCTGATTTAATGAAGTCATATTTGGGGGAAAGCACAGGGCATAAAAAATAATTTTTGATGAGTATTTCAGCTGGGGAACTTGTAAACACACTCAGTTATCAAGAAATAACAGACTTGCAATCATCATTCAGTCCTGTTCCTCTATAGTGAGCATGAGCTGCTGGTACAAAATATTTGTGAAATTAATCAGAAAAGATGTCTCTGGTGATCAATGCCTTTTTGTTAGCATCATAATGACTGGTAAGAAATTAACTCCTTGAAAAGAGTGGGGACTCTTTTGTCTATCTCAGCAACTTTACACATATGCATTAGCACATCCCAGCACAGTCATTCTCTCTTCAGCATTTTTAATTCATGTAGGGGCTGTCTCATCAATGGTAGTCAGTGTCTTTCTGGGATAGTAACACCAAAGCAGTGATGTTTCATCAATATCACAGACTTGGTCTGGCGTCAGATTTTCATCAGCAGTGATCTTGGCAAACTTGTTAATGGATTCTTCCACCATGTTACAATGAGCAAATGCTTACCACCACAAATCTTTTAACATGTAATACCAAGACTTTTTAAAAAATGTCTCCAGACAGCCTGTTGAATATTCACAGTTGTCCTCAGTTAATAGTAATGGTTCTTTGCTTGTTTCATGATCAGCATACCATGAAGTGGCATGTGTGCACTGAAACAGTCATGGAGCCATTCATTTAATCCACAACCACAATCTTAATTTTTAGCTTTATATAGTGTTTTCTATTTGTAATTAACTTCTTTTTATCACTTTCAGCACAGAGCTTCAGCAGTTGATCCTCTGATGCTTCAAATCATATATGATGGTCATTTTAACACCATATTCATCTTAAAGTTGTTTTATAATTACACCACTGTTGTTTCTCCAGAAGTTTGTCTTTCCATGCTATAAACATAAATGCTTCCTCTATCTCTTATCACTGTTACTGACAGGGGTGTCTGCAGGCTTTTTTGCTCCCACATTTTCAACAATAGCTGTATACTACCAATTAAAGAATAAACAAAGAAATACTGTGAGTAATGCACACAGGTCTTGACCTCATGTGAAGAATTACGGGGAACTTGCCATTGGTGTGTCCACCCTGCACCCACACTTTTTGTGAGGGTTATTACATGGGGGAATCTAGGCATGTGCAGAAAAGAAATATTACAATTGAAGAGGGATGGAACTGTCTTTCGTCCCTTTGGGATGTTGAATAAACTGTTTTATGCCTGCATTTGACTGACCTATCACATGTAATCAGGTGTGAAATTTGTCACTGTGGCATGTTGACACTCAAAAAGTTGTGAATTTTGGAACATTTCTGATTTTGGATTTTCAGATTTAGAAATATCAAGCTGTATATTAGTATGAAAGTTAGATAAAAGATTCAATTTATGCTTTCTTATTTTCCCTAAAAAATAAAACAGAAAAAATCCAACAGAATTGTCAACTATCTTATAAAAGAAACATTTACTGAATAAAACATATTGTGTCTCAGACAAAACTGATAAAGAGAAACTAACCCCTGGAAATAACTTGGTGAATTTACTGTTATTTCAAGGAAATTGAAAATTCTGGATTTCTACAGGGAAAAAAACAAAAACAAAAAAACCTCATGATAACTTAGCAACTCATGATAAAGGTAAGATCAGATCAGATGCCTCAACCTTACTTCTTCAGTGCTAGAAGACAGTGATACATAAAGCAAAGAACTGGTAATCAAATAATTGTGTAACTAGAATAGCTGTTTAAATATAAGAATGACAAACATGAAACACAAAAGAAGTTGAGAAATTTGTTTACTCAAATCATTATTGAAAATTAAAAGTACTTGATGCCATAATCTATTTTATCAAGAATTGTATCAAAATAAATAACTGGAATGGAGAAGTCATGATATAACGGAGAGGTGAAGAAACCTTGATGATTTTTAACTACAGAATAAAGGTTAAACTTGTAGGAAATCTGATTATGAAAAAGACTATTGTATTAGCAACATTAAAATATAAAAATAATAATTTGAAAATGTGTGTGAGAAGACTAGAAAAAGGCAAGCATAATGTAATCAATTTACCTGATTTCAATTCAGGAGCTAAAAGGAACTATAACTTACATCTAAATATATATATAATAGCTAAGCATGGTAGCCAGAATTATAAAAGGAAACACTGAAAGGACTGAAACCAACTTGTAAGTGCTGACAAAGAACCAACATACTTTGAATGCCTGGGGCCACTGAGAACAACAGAGATCTGGATATTGCGCCTGAAGAGAAAAGCATGTTTTCTACAAGTGCCCCTTATGGACATCTTCCAGCATTTTCTTATTCTGTTTAGTAGTTTTGATTTCTGTAGTATTGTTGTCAATAGTAGCAATTGGAATTTTCTAAGTGTAAATGTCAATATATTCTTAGCTGCAAGTAATAGAAACAAAATCCCAGTTCAATAGGTTTCGACCATGAGGAAAATTCGTTTCTCACTCAAAAAGAGTCTCATAGACAGAGATCTATGGTTGTTCAGTTCAGCAGCATGAGGACCTGGGTCCTGTTACTTTTCAACTCTGCCTGTCAGTGTGTAGCTTCCTTTCAGCTAGCTCCACCCACTGTCATGTGATGACTGCAGTTTCATGTGTCACCCATAATATTACTATCACATCAATATACACAGGCCACACATGGAGAGATACTTCTCTCTAGGGAATTTCTTTGGAAATTGGGAAAAATATTTTCCTCAAATATTCTCAGCAAATTTCTCCTTCTGTCTAATTGACTATAATTATGTTGCATACCTACACCAAAACCAGCAACCTAGAAGGCAAATAGGATTCCTGTGATTGACTTATACCAACCGAGCATCACCATGAGTAACAGGAAATAGGAGGATGTGAAATGAGCGTGTGGATTTTTCAGCAAAAAGAATGGTGAGAATATCCATTGGTAGGTTATTAACAGTGACTTCACATGTTGTCATTAAAGAGAATTAGTTTTATTTATTCTTGTACATAATTTATTAAAGTAATATTTTTACCTGATTTTAAAAATTTGCTAGGACATCCAAAAGATATTGAATAAAAGTGGTGACAGCAAGCATCCTTAGTTTGTTCTATTTGTAATGACTTGAGTATTTAACCACTTTGAGATTTGCTATATTTTTCTTTAATAATATTTAAGAAGTTTTTTCAATGCATACTTTATCAAAAGTACAAGCTTTTAATTAAGTAGAAAACAGGAGCAACAAAAATGACATAAAAAATAAATTAATTAAAAATAAGAATTCTTGAAAGACTATTATAATAATTTGCTCTTGCTCCTAGTAAGAAGAAGGGGAAAAACATCTGAATAAATTGGAACTCACACCTAATATTTGGATAATTTTTAATGTTTTAAAGATGTGAATTATTTCTAAATTAATTTGTAAAATATGACATCCCAATAAAAATAAGACACTTTTAACTTTATCTGATTATGTATTAATAAAATAGCCAAATGGAATGACATACATAGAATAGTCAGGGGACCTGCAAAGCTGAGTACGGAGCAGAATAGAGTTAGCTGTACCAGAGAACAACACTTGAAGTAGAGTCTTAGCCACTAAAGTAGGATGACACTAGCTTTTGATAGATAGACAGAAAAATGGAATAGAAACATGCCTAAAGACACGTAGACATTAAGAATATTGAAAAATTGTCATTTCACGCTAGAAATGTACAGGTTAATTATTTAACAATTGTAAAATAAATGCAAAGATTGATAGATACTAGATAATCTATGGGCAGATTACTCACTTTTATATCTGTGAATAATTCCTGAAAGAAGAAAGATGTAAATATTCAAAATGAGAGGCCATAACATACTAGAAAGTGCTAGTGTTCTATTTTTAAAGATAGGTTTACAGAAAAAGATGTAATTTCTAAGTATGTCCCCAAATCTCAAATTCACAAAGATAATAATGAACAATTTATACAAATATTTTCAGTTATATAAGACAATGAAACCTTATAAAGTTTTACATAAGTCAAAGGACAACTGAAAAAATTAAAAAAAAAAAATGTGACCATTAACTTGACAGAAAAGAAGTGTCAACATACAGCTTTGAAAATTTAAGAGGATGACTCATATACAAATAAGTAAACATGTCTCAAATACATAATCAGCTCATTAATTGAACTAACCAAGTGTTAAAAATTCTATTTGACATTTGGTATTTTTCTTAGTATAAAATAAGCTCTTAAAAAAAAAAAACAATGAAAACACATACAAGAAAGTTGACAAAATAAGATAAGAATATTTAAAAACTGTATTGAAAATTTTTATTCTCACTTATAATTGTAATTATAATTAAAAGAATAAATAGGGACAAAGAATAAAGGCAACAAAGTCACTAAAATATGAATTTCACAGAAACTTAGAGACATTTTGTTATCTACAACATTTTTAAACTAACTGGTCAACTCCCTGGATAGCTGACTTTAAGAAAACTTCTAAAAGCGATTATTCTAAGTAAACTTTCTTTAACATTTCTATTTCTAGACCTCTCCATTATGTTTCTTTATATTGCAAATGTCTTCAGAAACACCCTACTCATGTAACACTGTTATTTCAGACTTTTTAAGCTTTAAAGGCTTCTTGGAACTGTTGCTGTGGTACCCTAAATAATTATCACCATCTTTTTTTTTTTTTTTTTTTTTTTTTTTGAGACGGAGTTTCACTCTTGTTACCCAGGCTGGAGTGCAATGGCGCGATCTCGGCTCACCGCAACCTCCGTCTCCTGGGTTCAGGCAATTCTCCTGCCTCAGCCTCCTGAGTAGCTGGGATTACAGGCACGTGCCACCATGCCCAGCTAATTTTTTGTATTTTTAGTAGAGACGGGGTTTCACCATGTTGACCAGGATAGTCTCGATCTCTTGACCTCGTGATCCACCCGCCTTGGCCTCCCAAAGTGCTGGGATTACAGGCTTGAGCCACCGCGCCCGGCCTAATTATCACCATCTTTACCCTCATTTCTTGTGTAAAATAAAATAATTCCCTGTAATATCTTATTTTAACTTGCTAAAGATAAAGATGGATATGTACGAACATTAGTTTGTGAAAATATTTGTTAGGTAATCTATTTTAGTTTATGAGGAGTTAGAAAACAATAATAAAATTATGACACATAAAAAAAAATAACCATACATACTTACATTCTGATCACAGGATCTGTAAATCTTCCGCTGAACCTCAAATTAATTATAAATTGTAAAAGTTTTTTTTCTGTTACTTTTCTAGTAAAACCAAAGCACATTCATAAAGCAAGACAATGTAGATGTACTTAAGGTTATGGCTGTCATTATAAGCATTGCAGGCATGGGCATTCAGCAATTTCTTTATTAGACATCTGTTTAATAACAATGTCAAAACTTGGTCATAGTTTTCCTAATGGTTGAAGACTTTCTACAGGAAAGAACTACATTGACCTAAAAGACAATCTTTATGCAAAAATTGAAGCTACAGCAATTAAGAAACTAGAGCTGTACAGAGTGTGTTTATTTATTTATTTTTTTTTTGTTTTCTCATTCCTTCTCCTTCATTTTTGGAGAAGTTCTAAAAAGTGGAATTAAAAGAGTAAAAGTTATACACCCTTCCATTTTTATATATTACTGTTTCTTAGCCTTCATTCTCTTGTCAAGCATGAGACAAAGGCTTGGGTGCATTGCACATGATTAATTTGGAAATTTAATCTTAGGAGCAGGAATGCAAGACAGGGTAGTTAAACAAAGAACGAAGGTGTGTTAGTTCATTCTTGAGTTGCTATAAAGAAATACCTGAGACTGAGTAATTTATAAGGAAGTTTCATTGACTCACAGTCCTGCAATCTGTGTAGGGAGTATGGCGCCGGCCTCTGCTTGGCTTCTCTGGAGGCCTCAGATTGCTTCCAGTCATGGTGGAAGGCAAAGGAAGAGAGGATGTCTCATGTGGTGAGATCCAGGAACAAGAGAGAGAGAGTGGAGAAGTGCCACACACTTTAAACAACCAGATCGCAAAAGAACTCACTACCACGGAGGACAGCATGAAGCCATGAGTGACCCAAACCAAAAGTCACATGACCAAAACCCCTCCCACCAGGTCCCACCTCCAACTCTGTGGATTACATCTCAGTACAAGATTTGGAAGGGAGATCCAAAATATACCAAAGAGAAATGTGAAATAAGAATATATTACTTAGAGGCGCCACTTCAATCACTGGTGCTAGATCTGCTAGCAACCTTATGACAATATGTAGGAAATGATTCTCAGTGCTTTCTCCCCATGGCATAAATTTACTTCTTTCCCCTTAGTCGGGGAAGGCCCTTCAGATATTAACTCCCTGTCACTTGCAGACTTCTCAGAGAAGGATGCCTTTGAAAACTCCCACCATGTCATCACAGAAGCCTTGTATCCTAAAGCAATAAAGAGGCAGTAAAGCCAGATATGAAAGGTTATTAACTGAATCTGAACAAAGCCAGCAGTGGTGTCAAAAGTCACAGGTGGGTTTGAGAGGAATTTCAGGTGAAATTCCTGAAAAGTTCAATAAAATTGCCAATTTTGCCTTCAATAAAGTTATTCTAATTCAGATTTCCACCAGCAGAGTATGTTAACATCTGTACATATATGCATGTGCATACACACACACACAGAGAATAGTATTACCGTGTGAGTTTTTTATTCTGTCATTACAGAATACCTGAGATTGGGTAATTTCTAAGGAACAGAAATCTATTTATTTCCTCTCAGTTCTGGAGGCTGGGCATTTCAAAACCAAGGCATGGCATCTGGTCAGGCCTTCTTGTTATGTTATACATGGCAGAAGGCATGACAGGAGTGAAAGAGAGTAAGAGGGGGCCCAATCATCTTTTCGTAAGAAACCAACTCCCATGATAACAAACATACTCCTATGATAATGGTATTAATTTATTCATGAGGGAGGTGCTCTCCTGACTCAAAACACCTTTTATTAGATCACCTTCTAATACACCACATTCAAGATCAAGTTTCCAGTACACGAACTTTAGGGGACACATTCAAACCATAGAAATTATTCTTCTTAATCTTGGGATGATTGAGAAATATGGATCTTATTATTCTAATTAATATGAGTTTTTTAAGTGTTAGTAGTCCCTTACCATTTAAATAATCTTTATTCAAAACAGCAGCTATGGCTACTGAGAATACTGTTGGTAAACATTCATTCACTGCTAACCAGGCAGGAGACAAACTGAACTATAAACAATAGTCTATTTTTGCTGTCAGCCCTTTATGAGGAATTATCACTAAGGTCAATTTTTAAATGAATTAGGTTTTTTCCTAAGACAGTTTCATCAGAAAAAGAAATAGAATGAGTTTAGGATAATAGATTATCAGCTTATATTGAAATTCTGGCTCCTGCTCCGGGATGGCCAACTAGACGGAGCCAGGAAGAACATCTCCTATTGAGGGATGGTAAAATTGTGAAGACTGGCCACTCCTAGCAGATATTCAGAGGAAAAGCATTGAGATCAAGGAGGGAAGATAGATGCTAAGCTGAAGTGGGAGGAAGCTGGGTACACTTCATGGGGTTACTGTGCACCACCACTCATTCCTGGCTCCCAAGGACTCCTGCAGAGGACATGAGTTGAACAAGCAAGGAGCAACTGCTGTTCTCACTGGCCTCTGGAATCTCAGCATGAAGAGACCCCTTGACCACCACGGAAACTTGACTTGGCAGGGAGTGATGTTTAGATAAGTGGTAGGGCACAACTCCAGCCAGTGTGGAACCCAGCATGGTCAGGGATGCCCATACCCCTAAGGCTTGACTTGCTATCATGCGAGACTTTAGCCCTAGAGGAACTGTGGGACCTGCACTCTGCAAGTCAACCTTGCCCTTGAGAGGAGGCCAGTCCAATTTGAGTACCCCCAGTGGGCTGGCCTCTCTCAAGGCCCAAGCCTGGCTGCACTTACTTGCAGCACAGAGCCCAGGAACTTCTTTGGGGCCCCAAGCTCCTGTGCTGGTAGACCTTGCCTGAGCACACCAGCAGAGCTGCCCGCAGGCATGCACCAGTTGGACCTCCCCACAAGGCAGCCGCTGTCGTACTGTGTCGCTTCATCTTCATGCATTTGCCTATGGCCGCGCCCTACATTGCTTTGCTCACATGTGTGTGCATGGGCGGACCGTGTCTTCCCTTTCACACCATTGTACATGTGCCACCTAAACCCTGCGGTGCCACCGCTGCTGGCCTGAGTGTACCCCAGCCCCTACTCTCTGCTGCACCGCCATTGTCCTTGGCAGCAGGGAGCCTGCCAGTCCTTTCCTCGCCAGGACACATGCTCTGCGCCAACATTGACTGCCACCTGCAAGTCACGAAACTATGCATGGAGAACAGGGAATCTGTCCTTGCACTAAGCGGCTATCGTGGCCAGCGTGAACATGCAGAGGAAGCACGCAGTCCTGCACACACCAGCGCCCTGCCCCGTGCTAACACCACCATCTGGATGAACGCACACACAGTCCCTGGTGGGGCCTCACAATGCCCGTAGCTTTTCTGCCACTGCTACTGTGGCTAATGCCCACATGGAGACCAGCATTTGCACCTGCGAGCCATGGCCGAAAAGCACGCACCCTGCCACACTGCCTATGCTGCTGCTGCTAAGTGGGAAAGAGGAGGGATCCCACTGCGACGGCCCTAGGAAGTGTTTTGAGCTGAACTGAAGGAGGCTGAGACACACACACACACAAACATTCAAAAGATCCACAAACCCAGGAGCTAGTGTTTTGAAGAACTAGATGGACCACTAGCTAGCCTAATGAAAAGAGGATCCAAATAAACAGAATTAGAAACAAAAAAGGGATAATACCACTGTCACCACAGAAATACAAATAACCAGCAGAGGCAAATATAAACACCTCTTTGCATACAAACTAGAAAATCTAGAAGAAATGGGTAAATTCCTGGACACATACACCCTCCTGAGGCTGAAGCAGAAATAAACTGATTCCCTGAACAGACTCATAACAACTCGAATATTGAATCAGTAATAAATAGCTTACCCTACAACAACAAAAAGCCCAGGACCAGACGGACTCACAGCTGAGTTACACCAGATACAAATACCAGAAATGAAAGAAGGTGTGTTACCATTTTTACTGAAACTATTCCAAAAAATTGAGGAGAGACTTCTCCCTAACCCATTCTATGAGGTTAGCATCATCCATTCCAAAACCAGGCAGAGACGCAACAACAACAAAAGAAAACTTTAGGCCAATATCCTTGATAAACACTGATGCAGAAATCTTCAACAGAATACCAGCAGACCAAATCCAGCAGCACATCAGAAGGCTAATCTACCACAACCCAGTAAGTTTTATTTGTGGGATGCTAGGTTGGTTCAGTATACGCAAATCAATAAATATGATTCAACACATAAACAGAACTAGACAAAAGTCACATGATTATCTCAAGAGCTGCAAAATAGCTTTCAATAAAATTCAATATTTCTTCTTGTTAAAATCTCTCATAAGCTAGGTATTGACAGAACATATCTCAAAATATTAACAGTAAGAGCACTTTATGACAAACCCACAGCCACCATCATACTGAATGGGCAAAAGCTGTTATGTTTCTTTAAAAAGGGGGCAGAACATGACCATACCAAAAATGGAAAGAGAATCTGATATTGACAGCTTACTTTGTATCCATTCCTCTCTAATGTGAATAGTATGACTGGAGGTGAGAATCCCTTGTTGTAAACATAGTCCCTGGAGTCCTCATTCAGCTTCAAGTGTGTGTGTGTGTGTGTGTGTGTGTGTGTGTGTGTGTGCACACGTAACACAGATACTTTTCAAAAGAAGACATACATGCAGCCAACAAGTATATGAAAAAAATCTCAATATCATTGATCAGAGAAATGTAAGTCAAAACCACAATGAGATATCATCTAACACCAGTCAGAATGGCTATTACTAGAAAGTCAAAAAATAACATGCTGCTGAAGTTATAGAGAAAAAGGAATGCCTATACACGATTGCTAAGATTATAAATTAGTTCAACCATTGTGGAAAGTAGTGTGGTAATTCCACAAAGAGCTAAAAACAGAACTACTACTTGACCCAGCAATCTCATTACTGGATATATAACCAAAGGAATATAAATTGTTGTATCATAAATACAGATGCAGCACTATTCAAGATAGCAAAATAGGTTGGAGTCAACCAAGCTGCCCATCTGTGGTAGATTGGATAAAGAAAATATGATACATATACACCATGGAATACTATGTAGCCATAAAAAAGAATGAGATCAGATCCTTTGCAGGAACGCAGATGGAGCAGGAGGCCATTATCTGTAGCAAGATCATGCAGGAACAGAAAACCAAATATTACATGTTCTCACTTATAAGTGGGATCTAAATAATGAGAACACATGAACACAAAGAGGGGAACAATGGACACTGAGACCTGCTGGAGAATGGAGGGTGGGAGGAGGACCAGGAACAAAACAAAAAGCAACTATTGGGTTCTAGGCTTAGTACCAGTGTCATGAAATAATCTTCACAAAAAATTCCCATGACATAAGCTTACCTATATAAAAAACCTTCACATGTATCCCTGAAGCTAAAAGTTAAAAAAAAAAATTCTAATTTTAACATAAAACTCAAAAAATATTTATTGAGGTATGTGTTATGTGTGAGAAGTACCATATGTTTTATGAATATTCGGATTACAGCGTTATTTATAAAGGCAAATAATGAAAACAGCTTAAATGACTACTAAAAGAAGATTTTAGCACTACTAAATACTACTAGATTTGTGTATTACTATGCAGCCAATAAAAATAATGATGCATATTTACCTTTATTGAAATGACATGATATCCATAATGTATGGTTAAGTAAAAATAATCATCTATATGCAACATCATATTTATCACTTTCTATTTTTGTAGAAAGATAAAAGTATGTGTGTATATGTAAACATAGTTGAAATTATGGTGAGATATGTTTCAAACTAGAAGGCAAGGTTATCTACAGGATATAGGATTATAAATAATTCTCACTTTCTGCCTTATAGTTTTCTACATCTCCTAAATATTTTATCAAACAGTTTTATTTTATTTGATA